AGCAGTGATTAAGATATTGGTGCGCTTATTTTCACCTTGTCTGAAAAAATAAAAATTCGACGATAGAACCACCACATCGGTGGTTGTATTCCATAGAAAGTGAAAGGCAGGATTTGAACAGTCCGTTGCCAATCTACAAGACCTTCGATAACGTATGAGAAACACACTTCAAGAAAAGCTGGAAATTGCACAGTCAAAGGAGCTAGGAGGATTCAGAGATGGATTTAATATCTTAGGTTTGGGGCATCTCCAAGTGGTACAGCAAGTATTTCAGTCAGGCAGCGAATATCCGTTTCCTCTGTGCCTGAGGTTCGTAGATTTCAGTAAAGATTTTGACTGAGTCAAAAGTCATTCTTTCTGGACTGTTTGACGAGCCAGAGAATCGAGAAAAGTTACAGATATGTGATCACCCTGATTCACTGGAATGCAACCGCTGTTACGAAGCTGCATGAAGCCTTAAACAAGTTCAGAAGCCACAGATGCGACTGACGCAGTATCACGGAAATTATTCGTCGCAGGAATATGGAAATGGTTTTCAAGACATTCCGTTGGGAAAGCCATAGGCTGAACATAAATGAACGATACTCGCGATAACTGTTCTTATGCGGGTAACTGACCCAGTGCTTGAAACAGAAAATTTTCCCTTAGTCTGTTCCCAGTTTTACCATACGGGTGCGAAACGTGGACGTAAATTACGCAACGTACCATGGAAAAATCCATGTTCGGAGTAACATGAAAAGATGGTATGACGAATAATTGGCCAAATGCCAAAACAGGAATCTCTAATGTCACTGCGTGAGTGAAAAACTTTAAAACGTTATGTTCAGGACAAGCTACATGGCACCGACTATCACTGGACCACATATACATTACATTGGGGTCCAAGAAATAGTAAATGGCCCGTAGCAAGACCTCCAAACGTACCTTAAAACGAGTTGAAGAAGTCTGCAGGATAAAGATGGATGAAAATGGCTGAAAGTAGAGGTCTGTGGCGAAGTCTTCGACAATCCTTCTTTCATCCAGTAGGGGAACGACAATTTGATTCACCGAATGATTAAATGCGATCATAGATCCGATGATTACCTTGTTTTACTTAATTACCGATGATACCTTTCTTTTCCAGGTTTGCTGAGTGTACAACAGTGGTTTAGTTTATTGACATTAACTATCGATCGCAGAATGCTTGATCATCACAAGCGAACGACGCGGACTCTCAGTCATGACGATCGGGTAGAAACAGGAATTACGGGTGGGCGGGGTTAAACTAAGATGAGAAGACTGTTCGACCGTACAGACTGTCGGGTGGTTATTAGGACAGTGCTGCAGCAGACAGAGGCACGCGACCGTTGTGGTTTAAGAATGTGGCTAGCGAACTGGACTGTACTTGAATCATTTTTAAATACTCATTCTCAAAACGAACACCAATGTTGTTTGGCTGAAACGTCAACAGTTTTAAAATACATTTCCCACCCTTCTACTCCACTCGACTGTATCACTTTAATTGAAACTTTAAAATATTTAAATTAATCCGTTGCTTTAAATATTAAAAAATTTAAATATGTGAAATGTTTTCACTTATTCACAAGTTCATTCCATAAAAATTCGCGTATTTGTATGTTTTTGTAATCTGTTCCACCTATACACGTTCTTATTATTGATTAAGAGCTCGTATGTAGTACATGAATGCAGTATCGTTGAATTAGTGAGGGCAGGGCACAGTGCCTTAATTACTCAGTATGATCTTCTTCCCGTCCTTAGTTACCCCAACAGCGGAATATCAAGAGGATAAAACCTGCGGTAGCAAAAATTTTCGTAGAATCGTTTTATTGCATCTTTCACAGTGTTCTGAACCGCAAAATCCATTCGTTAGATTCTCTTGCTAGAGGAATGCGCAACGCGAACTCTTGCGGATCATGAATATATGCGGATACTGTAGATCTGTGCATACGATAAGTTCAACGGACGAAAATGTGCAACTACCGTGTTGTATGCATATTATGTGATTTTGTTCGCAACATAGGGTGGCTATTAAGAAATATCTGGTCAGACAGATTCCAGCAATGCTTACATGCATGATTGATTACCGAGCTTACACAAAGCCAAACAGATGTTTGCGTTCACTAATGGACTGCTTGAAAGCAATCACTTGATCGTTTACGCAGTTGTTCAATGATAACTGTTTAATGATGATGTTGTTTAACAGTAAGTATGAAAAGCGGTTCGTTTATGCATAACGCTTCAGATAATCAGATATTGAAGCAACGACGTTTGTGCCCATGTTTTACGGGCTTAGACAACCAGACTGACTTTGGAAGTTGTTCTGCTGTAGGAAATTTTTGGAGATGATGCAATTCTCTCTGTTTTGAAGAACGCCCATGAAACGAGTCGGAACGTCAGCGCTGGACAGTCATCCCTTTGCCCATATTCTTTGCGTTATGAATAAATAACCCGTAAATAATTTTGTGCTGATTTCAACATGCATGACCACCAACTTTGGAACGAAACATTCAGTTTTGATATCAAGAATGAATCTGTCGAACTCTTATTACCTGTAGATATCCTACACCCAGTTGCGGGAACTGGCTAAGCCTCAAAAGCTTAGTTCGTTTTATGCATTCGATGCGTTCCTAATTATATAATGCCATTAAAATCATCTTCAGTTTAGGAGTATTATTTTGTCTCCAATATCGAGATCGCTGAATATAAGAAATTTATCATCCGTTTTTTT